AAGTATCTCGAACCAGAGATCGGTGTACAAATTTAACTGTCTCACGTAGACTAACAAATTAATTTCTTTAAGAAAAATTATAATTTCGCACTAACATCCCGCGACGGCTCTCTATGCCTTTTTATTATATTAATTGATTGTTATCATTTGAGCCATTCCTTTATATGTGTTAAAATTTAATAAATTATTTTTTAATATATAAACAATTTTTATATACATATAAATTTTTAAATTATTATTTATAAAATATTTATAATAACAAAACTTTAATTATAATTTTAAAAAATACTAACATAATAAATATTTAACTTATCGCAAGAACAAAAGGATACATAATACAAATCAGTTATACAATAATGAAAGACAATTAGAAACAGAAATAGAAAATTAACGAAACAAATGAAAGTTTCCGGGAAGAAGGTGACAACGAAAAATATCTTTGAAGAGGGAATTAACAAATTGATCATGAAGCATTAGATTTAGAATATTTACATATAATAAATTTTGAGGTCTAAAATAATTATTCTATTATTTTTATTTTTATTGCATAAATTACAAATGGAAAAATTAAAATTACTCATCAGATCATACTACTCATATTTTCTGATGCGTAATGCTAATTCCTTTATTTGTAATTTATGCAATTCTTGTTTCTGTTTTTGTTCTGCCAAAATTGCTTTTATCTTTGCTTCATGTTCAATTTGCATTAACTCCATGGTCTTCTCGTGTTTTTCCTTCTGGAGTTCGAGCAAAGCCTTTTCATAAGCACTCATTTCTTTCTTCCTCCTCTTTGGTGCAGGCTTATTTAATTTTTTTGAATCACTATGTAACCTGACCAAAGAAGAGGAACTTGGTTGTGCTGTTGTGCTAGTGTGTTTGTCTTGCTCTTTGCTGAGATCTTCTTTCTCCAGAAGCATGAACATTCTAAAACAAATAAGATTTATTTTCTTAATAATTAACACTAATATTAATAATTATTGATTATATTGATTAAAAAAAATATATTTTAAATAAATCTTACCCAGTGGTAGGGTCCAACAATAATTCATCGTCTTCGCATTCTAAATAGATGCTTTCTTCTTGAACCCTACGTCTCTGTAACAAATAAATAAATAAATATACATTTATTAGAAATTTGATTTGTCAAAATTTTCAGAGTATGCTATAAAAATTATTTTAAAGTAAAATGTATCTAAATCTAAATATTTCATTAATATTACAAAATATTGCAAATATTATATTAATATTACAAATTACTAATATTACAAAACTTACTTAACCATCACTGTCGTGGATGTTTTTGTCTATTTCAAAATCCTCGGGACAGATTTTAACAATATTGAAATCTGTCTCCGAGGGCTTAGAAATAGACGGTCCACTACCAGTGCTCTTCAAATGTTTCTTATATGCTGTTATGTTTTTCTTCGCTGTCACCTTCCAGCGTTGATAAGCTGCCCGCAATTCTTCCCACTTTCTTTGAGATCCCGTAGCTTTCATCTGTTTCGCTAATTCCTTCCATTTCTGTTTCTTGAGTACTTGCAGTTTTGCGCTTGCACTCTTGTCTTCCATTATTGCAAAATTATGACTTATAAATTCTACAATAGTATCCTTTTCTTCTTGCAAAAAGTTTTCTCTCCTTTTCAGTTTATCAGCCATCTAATGCAAAGTATAACAAGTCATAATTAACCTTTTTTCTTATATTGCAGTTTTTAATGCAAATATTATAATTTTGCATACTCACTTTTATCTTTCAATCTGACAGCGTCAAAAGATAAATCAAACTGAAGATTGCACATTTCACTTACAACGCGAAGTTTGTACTCGGCCGCGTGACCATCACTTACGCGCAAGCGCGCTAATGCCACGAGCGTCTAGTAACACGCGATGTTCGTAAATGCGCCTCTAAGTTAGAGGCGCTCTAAATGTGCGGTGAGAATACGCTAACTTTAGAGGCATTTCTCTAAAGTTGGTCCGCGTCTTTAAGGTTGGCCGAATAAATGTATTCATAAATGTGAGCTCAGAATACGGGCCAAAGAGTGTATAAACGTAAAAAAATGCTATTTCTTATATAAAGACTTATACATGTATAAAAAT